CATAGTAAAAACTGCAAAAGACACACAAGTGAATAAAAACTTTGTATACAAATTAAGAGTTAGACACAGTAGAGCCAAACAATGAACTAAACTGAATCATACATGTTTCGCAATTCCAGCACTCATCAGTGATGCTAAGGGCTTACATTATTATCAAAAGACGTCACAATCTAGATGGGGTGATGCACTAGTCCAATGATTCAATTAATGTGGTAAATCTTATATATCAGATAAGTGCAGATCAAATACATGTGTTATTCTGAAAATTGCCATAAACCAAAGGACCATTAAGTTTCAGAGAGCCATCGTATTGAGTTTCATTTCTGTCAACAGTTGACATCTTCCTTCTAAATGTCGCAAAAAACGTGCGAAAGGTATACACCGACACGGTGTAAAGATTGAGATAAGCATCTTAATTATCCTCGAGTTTCAAATTAATGAAGGCACATATAACGACATGGTCAATACACTGTATGAACAAACAATATTTCGTTAATGACAGGAAAGGATCTGTACTTATAGAGAATATGTGTCAAACATAGCTGGTTTATTTTGAAAATAGAGGGACACTGTTGGTTACTCTAACGTCGTTTAGATATGGAGCAATGTACCAACTTACTGATTTGCTCTTTTTGTGTGTAACGACATTTTCATTATCAAAACATGTATTGTACTTTAAAATTGTATTGACAATGATAACGTTTCCGTTGAAATCGAAAAAATATGAACGTTTATTTTGATATACTTCAACGCAATCGTTTTGGTTGTCAACAATAAACCACTAAACATCTCTTTATCTGCTATGCAACTCTCTTGTGTAATGGAAGCTAATAGCCAGTTTATATCACAAAAGTATGAAGTTGTATTCATGATCACTGCCTGTCTGTAGGGAAGGAAAGGTTAATGGTAGCTGCGGGACAAATCTGTTTATAAACAACAACAATAAAAAACGATTACACAAATGATAAACGACACCAAATAATGTTTTGCACTTGAGCTTATGATAACGTGAGTTAAAGCTGCTGACGTCACATTGGATATCACAAAACGTACGGCTTTCGAATTTTCGATTTCATGTCGAAGATTTACTTGATACTTTAAATCGGCGATCATATTTCAGTTAGAATTAAACTTACACGGCGGCTCCATTGCGATCTAAATTCTATTAATATATCGTTATTTTTTAACTCCAAACCCAGATCATATAGGATTGCAGAAAAGGCACAATGCATAGCACGTTCCAAACAAATGTTGTATATGATGTTGTCTCCAGAGAGTATAACAACATCTGTAAAGAACAAACGCACGTCTTGAAATAAATACACAGACTGGTGCATTTCATACTACATGAATCCTCTTAAATATGACGTATTGGACATTTGGGTGTATATTGTCAACATTAACACGGATAAAACCTTAATTCGTCATTAATTTGCAGATTTCTCGTGACCTATCAGATCAGTACACCAAACGATCGTTTATCACAGGTTGGAATTAACAATTAGCGTAACTAAGTTATGCTTGTAGTATAGTGTGTTGATCGGCTTCATCGTCATGTACTTTTGTGTCCTTATCTTTGTTTTATTTATATTGAAAATCAATTCATGTCTGCACTCATGTATTAATAGAACACTGTAACCATACACGCATTTTTCTGCATCGTTTTGCGATAAATGTAGCTAGAACACGTGTACTTATATCGTTATGTGGAGGAGATAGCTAGAAGATTGTAACCATACATGTATTTTTCCTGTGTCTTTATGTTGAGGTTGCTAGAGCACTGTAAACAATTAAATAATAAAGTAAACTCTCATTAAACTGTTTAGTTCTGTAGGACTTAACGTGGCGTGCAGATTACGACAAACCTCAGGGACTTAAAGTCCACCCGCAGTGTCTACCACCTGCAATATTGAAGACTATGAACTAAATGACTTCACAGTGTATTATGTAGTAGAGGTTTACAGGAACACTGTAAAATACCATTCTTACTTTATTATTTTCTGGTAAAGATTGAGTTGGAAAACATTGATTGTGTAGATGTGGCAGAACAATGTAAAACATCATAGTATATTGTTTTGTGCTAGAACACTAAAATGTTACTATATTTGTATCGATACAAAAGACTGAAAAATGTAATTATGTTTCTGACAAGAAATATATCGAGCATATTTAACAGTGTACTCTGTTTAATTATTTCTTTTTTGTAATTTTGTATCAGGCTAAATTGATGGGGTACTTTTTACTGAAGAACACCTTTTAACATTTTAATCTCTTGAGCAATGGTGCAAATATATAGTTGCAAACAACGCTGAAGCGGTTTTTTTTTAAACTTTACTGAAACCAAAGAAGAAATATACGGAGGACGATTTCGTAAAATGATCTAATTTCTAGATGACAGTATCTTAATCTAACACACTTTTTATACGAGGCTGAATTACTTGAAGATAAAATCGAAACAACACTCAACGACCTTGCAAAATCCATCAATTTTACTTTCAGATATATGAATATTATCATGTTTTTGCAAAAATAGAAAAATAAATTTCCCAAACCTATGGTAATGCTGCCGGTTCAATGTTTAAGTGTTTGTTTCCCAAATCATGATTTCCGTAGAAAATGTTGGCAACTGCCAAACAAAATAAAGCAGGTCATCGAGAAACGCAAGTTGGTGAAAGTTATGGGATAGTTGTACAGTTGTCATAATGATCTGATTGAGAAATATTCTATTCCCTTGCGCGGTATGAAGTTAGACGTGTTTGATGCTCATTAGTATGCCTGGTGTTTCCGCTGTTGTTTATCCTGTTTTCATTTGCGAACGTGACAACACAATTCACATATCTGAATTGACCAACATTTATATGGTGGGTGTCGTCGATTAAGCAGGAGACGCTTACCTTTCGGGAAACCGGAACACCATGTCTTATTGTCCTTGTTCTTTTTCAATTTTTTATAAGTAAACATTTCTTTTGTTCATAGTTTACGTATTTTATTTATTTAATAATGGGGCTGCTGCATTGCCCCATCTAGATTTTGGCATTTCTTTCGATTACTTTCACCTGACGAGTCCAAGAAATACAATACAGCTATATGATGCAGTTTAATACTCTAAATCATTAAAAAGGTGTTATACACTTAAACCAACTAGACAAAAAATGTTATTTTTCAAGGCAATGGACAATTAACACAATCTCAATTTCATGTTTCTCTTTACCTCAATGGTTATTGGAAAGGAAACAATTTGACCTGATTCTAGCAAAATAAATAAATCATATTATATCAGTATTTAGTATCCACGTTTGTTTTGTATGCGTCATCAATGTTGACATCATGGTGTGACCTTTTGTAAAATATCGCCAAATAATACGCAAAAATGACCATTTCAGAAATACATGGAGCGCAATAACTTCTGATAATGACAATGTATTTACATTGCTTCGTTTTTCCCAAAGGTAAAAGATGGCTAAAAATCCAGAAGAAAAATCAAATTATTGCGCGTTCAATTTTTCGTGAGTGCATAAAGTGCCCGCTTGGTCGGAGTTTATCCTGTCAGTCAATCAAAAACATGCTAAAGTGTTACACCACATGTGTTTTGACATGTTCGAGTCATTAATTGATACCTTGGGAGTAGAAAATGTAACACAGAAATGCAAACATTACAAATCTCCGGTAGACGGAAATTAAATTTCACCATATCCGCGTATACTATTATTTATTTTCGACACTAATTTTATAAAGTTTTCAATTTACCTTCTATTTCTAGAACATACAGATCGTCTTCAGTGAAAATACTTTTAGACAGAAAAACATATTTTCTGTAATTAAAAATATTTCGATACTGTTAACGCATTTAAAGAGAAATTGATATACGACACTTTGCTTGAATTTGAGTTCTTGACCGTTTCATTGATTATTATAAAATATTATCCAAATGATACTCTGGAAGAGTTTTGCGGTTCTTGTTGGGTTCTTAATGCCGTTGGAAACAGATGGATTACAAGGAATATTCTTAATGCATATGTATTAGCGTAACATCCTTCCCTTTCTTTTATACATACATATATATATATATATATATATAATATAGTTAATGACGTTACGCAAGTGATAATATAAAGAAAATTGTTTAAAAAACACACAAGAACATGACGTTATAGATTCTTTGTATAGTTACATTGCACTGAGGAGCAGTTAAGCTGTGAAAAAGTTATGCAAAATGCTAACTTAACTTTTTCTTGTGTGTTTTTTTTTAAACAATTTTCTTAATATACATTACATATATATATATATTAAATATATTATTGCCTATGTCTTCGTAAGCAAAACGAAATGGTGCAAGAAACATCACCATTGCAACATAATCATAATCCAAGCTCAAATTCCATAAAACTAGGGCAAAACATGAACAAAAGAAAGATTTACACGGAGACTCATGAAAAAGCACAAGGAGAATTAGACCATATGTTCTGGAAGACTAAGCGTCCTCTGCTTTATCGACGACAACCGCCATAATGTAAACTTTGGGCAATCCAATTAAGCCATGTCAGGTTGTCAAGTGAGAGCGAGATATTCAGTAACGGAAACAACAGGCAAACTAGCGGCCATCAAACACTTTCAGCTTCACATCACACAAGGAAATAGAATATTTCTCAATGAGATCACTATGATAACCAAATAACTTCTCCGTAGGTATAAATATTCTTCTTCTAGTCTCAGACAGTGGATAAGTATAGCGGGACTTTTAACATGTTTAAATGTATGTCTTTTTATGTTATATAAAAAACACTCTCGTCGCTATAATGAAGCTGAATAACTCATAAGACAACTAAAGAAAGGTATTGATGTAAAGAATGTCAGTTAAGCAGAGCAAGAGTTGTGGAGAAATGACCGATGGTTAGTTGAGAGAGAACGAAGCGAAAAGTCTTCAACAAGAAATAGTATGCATGGTCCGAACACTACTAGGATGGAATTTAATAAATATTAACCTAATTTGCAGGGACAAAATGGAAACTGACCTCAGGTTTTCGCAGTTTGTTTGGTAAAATATTGATTGTAAGTTATATACTTCCACGCAACTATAGGTTTGTGTTTTAACATTATCAGAATATTAATTCGTTTCAAACCTTTTTCATGGTAAAATGTATATGGTAAGACCGATTGACATAGGTATTGAATAATAAGCTTTAACAATGATCATACAATCCAATAACAATCGGGATGCGACGCGCCTCAAATTTTAACAGGATTTTTTTTTTACTGTATTATTGAATTCTCTGATTAAAACAGTATTTATATATCAACATATTGTTGAAAATATATCAAAATCATAGATTAATAAAACACGCAAACTGGGTTCCAAATATTTAGATATATTGTTTGAAAAAAAAAATATCGACATGACAACTGAATCTCAATTCAGATTCCAATCAATGAAATGAAGGTATGAGGACAAGGCGATATTTTGGTATGAGGACAAGGAGATATTTGGGTATGAGGACACGGAGATATTTGGGTATGAGGACACAGAGATATTTGGGTATGAGGACATGGAGATATTTGGGTATGAGGACAAGGAGATATTTGGGTATGAGGACAAGGCGATATTTGGGTATGAGGACACAGAGATATTTGGGTATGAGGACACGGAGATGTTTGGGTATGAGGACATGGAGATATTTGGGTATGAGGACATGGAGATGTTTGGGCATGAGGACACGGAGATATTTGGGTATGAGGACACGGAGATATTTGGGTATGAGGACATGGAGATGTTTGGGTATGAGGACACGGAGATATTTGGGTATGAGGACACGGAGATGTTTGGGTATGAGGACACGGAGATATTTGGGTATGAGGACATGGAGATATTTGGGTATGAGGACACAGAGATATTTGGGTATGAGGACATGGAGATATTTGGGTATGAGGACAAGGAGATATTTGGGTATGAGGACAAGGAGATATTTGGGTATGAGGACATGGAGATATTTGGGTATGAGGACAAGGAGATATTTGGGTATGAGGACAAGGAGATATTTGGGTATGAGGACAAGGAGATATTTGGGTATGAGGACATGGAGATATTTGGGTATGAGGACAAGGAGATATTTGGGTATGAGGACACAGAGATATCTGGGTATGAGGACAAGGAGATATTTGGGTATGAGGACATGGAGATATTTGGGTATGAGGACAAGGAGATATTTGGGTATGAGGACAAGGAGATATTTGGGTATGAGGACAAGGAGATATTTGGGTATGAGGACAAGGAGATATTTGGGTATGAGGACACGGAGATATTTGGGTATGAGGACACGGAGATATTTGGGTATGAGGACAAGGAGATATTTGGGTATGAGGACATGGAGATATTTGGGTACAAGAATTATACTCCAGAATCATGTCTAAAATTGCCCCAAATTTTGAGTTTGCTTATCATGAATAAATTAAACTAGATATATTTGATTTGCTAAGGAAAATTTTAATATCGTTTCTTGATCCCCGAACTTGATATTGAACGGGCTTTTCTTTCATCGGTTACATCCACTTTATGAATTTCAATTCGACAACAACGAAGCCATCAGACATACTAACGAGCTTCGAACACGTCTAATATAGAAAGAAAAATATTATGTCGAAATGAGATAATGACAATGACAAGCTGGTTTCTAACGAAGCTTGATTTTTATCAGAAAACTCATCATCAACGCAGTTTCTAAAACCCCCGTTAACTTACCGGATATCGATGATTACCTGTATCCTTATCATAATGTAACGAACACGATATCTCGCTATAGAGATGTAAGATAAGCGTGATGAATAGTTTTCCTGTCATTCCTCTTCTTTCTCTTTTCTCTTGATTGCAGCGCGGCTTGTTATCCAAACCAAATGGTCTATACATCTCAGTATATTAGGTAAACGATGGATTGTTCCAAACATTTCTATTAGCGTGATCGACAGCTGATTTAACAACTGCGCAAAACAGGGTTTCAAAAGAGATACGTCCGTAGGTGAGACAGTCTAATGATCATGAACATTTCTTTATGTGATGTAATGATTCTATGATAGTTCCTCTGGCACTAACCTGTTTCTCATTTTGAGAACGTTGTAAAACATGTAATGTAGACAGATATGTATAAATTTTGATGGCGTTTAAACGTAATAGATATATAATGAGGACATTTAGCCAAATGTTTGAAACAAATGAATTTACTCCATTAAACTATATTATTTTAATGGACATCTTTTTATAAAATTCCAACAGCCCACTCAATAAATCATACAAGTGCGAAACTTTATTAAACCGCTTAAGCAGTGTTTTTTTTTTAACTACGACGTGGAGCTGAGTTAATTTGAAATTCATACAACGTTATTTGTCAGTACAAGTATCATATGCCTTACACACCGACACATGAATCAAAATGCAACAGAATCATCGTCCTTTTGGTATTGGAAAAAACGGAGAAAATAAGCTGTTTTAAGACCTGTGGTATGGGTGTGACAGACTTTTCGGTCACCAAGACGTCTTTACCATTAAAAGTACTATAAAAGACACACAAATAAGTATCTAGATCGTCTAAAAAAGAAATGCATTTTAACTACACTAGTATTCGTCAGTGTATCAGGGACGTAATCGAATCCTATGAGGCGATTTAGGAAAAAACAAAATAGGCAAAACTAGATATTGATGTTTCAGCATTAGATACTTTAAAAGAAAGACAGGAAGAAAAGTGAATAATGTTTTCAGAAATACTACAGGTATTACCTATTATTCTGGATGGACAGCATCAATGTGGAGATAACAATGATACTATAAAATCTTCCCATGTAATGATATAATGTCGGCATTTATATTTATAACTGGTTTCTGCTGGAAATTTCAGTCAGGCTATTATGTATAGTTTATAACATAAGTGTTAGTTCATCTGAAAGCCAGAAAGCTCTGTTTAAGGCATGTTGTGGTAACAATTTAGGGCTACAGTGTGTATGCGTTTATTCTTTTGTTTAGGTCAGACAATTACTCGTTTCTTACAGCTAGATTTTAGGCTAGCTGATAAGGTCTTAGTGCCGGTTCCTAAGTAAAGGGGGTTTGTAAAGGTCATATATTAGAAGGAGGGAAAATGGAGTGCGCACGTAAGTAATTGGCTTGAGAAATAGATAGTGGTTTATGTATTATCAAAGGAGATTGTGAGTAAAGGAGATTCAATGTGCAATGTCTGGTGATTCCCATTGACTGGAATTACATTATAAAATTGAGAAAAGATGACTCGTGTTTGTAAACTTTATATTGGCACGATAAGGGAATAATGCAACAATACAAAACATTCAAATTGTTTGCTGTGACTTTTTTATTGATGAAAACTACAATTTGGTAGTTATTTTATTTTCATTCAATGTTTGTTGTCAAGAAACATAATGAGTTTTCTTCCCTTGTAAATGACTGTATATATCGCAATGTTCAGTTGCCAACTTGTCTACTATATTTACATTTATGTAAACTGCTTACCCCTTATGTATACATCAGTTATTTCTAATTACAGAACAAAGCTGTTGCACACATCACAGTTCTTAATAAGATATAATTTGAACAAGTGTAGGCGATGAAGCGATAGTAGCTAATCATTCTGAAACATCTGATTATTGTTTGTGTGTGTGTGTTTTTTTAATTCTCTCTAGTTGATCTCTTAATACATGTAATGTTAACTTTACCCTCGTTTGACTGATTCTGTTAAATATTCGTTTCGTTGATAAGGCGGTTTTTCCAAATTCATAGCGTTTGTTACCTAAACGTTTTAATCAGCTTTCGTCCATTTGATTGGATTGTAGTGAATTGATTTCCTTTCGGAACACCTGCTTACGTGTTCATCAGTATTATGTGGATTCATCATGTCGCTAGCTTCTCGATTCCTCGTATTGATTTAGATTTCAGACTCGTCCTTGGATGTTGACGCTGTAGTATACATATATATATATTTCCCTTCTATTTCATTTCAATAGTCTGGATGCGAATCCTTTCCCAGAATGTTAATGTGGTTTGTCACAGTGATATATGTTTAGGGTGCTGAAAAATGATAATTGTGATGTGACTGTTGGGTAAAATGGGACTCAATATGGCGTGTGTGATACTCACATTAATCCAAACGGATTGTATTTAGATTAAATCTAATGCCCAGTATCTTTTGCATGCACTTCATATTTTTCTTCTTGAAACTGATAAAGGTTGATATTCATCAAGCTGTTCTTTGTAAAAGTTGGATTCCATTTCTAGTCTTAACCGCTGATTTCAGCACAATTTTAAAATCTTCGATATAATCTCACCTTCATTGTTTGACGTTCATGACAATAAGGTGTTATCTGATAAATTGCATATAAATTAAACTGTCAAGAGTATTTTTTTCAGAAAATGATTAAAATTTTCACATCAGGCAGCCAAAAAAAGGTGTCAATTGTTTAAGGAGTTGACCTTTTGTTCTCCGTGAAACAGTTGTAAAAAATATTTCCTTTCATGGCTTCTTAAGTTTTTACAGCCAGTGATCTTCACAAGTTTTATGTTTAAGTGTTTCCTTACATATGAACATTTTCTGAATTTTCGCGTACTGAATTATCGAATTATCACCACAAACACAACCATGCTGACTCTTCCGGAAATAAGGTGTCAGTGTTTTCTAAATCCAATTCTGGCGTGCTTTGATTCTCCATGCACGTCCTTTTTAACATTTGAGTTTATATTCCTTTACGTGGTATTATTCACTTAGATTGACAAATATTTACATTACGGTTGTTGTCATAGTGTTGTCAATGAATCAGAAAACGCGTATCCTTCCGACCATCAACAGTGGATGGTCGCATGTAGCGGTGATAATAGACTTTTAGTACTACATCTCGTGATGAGAGGAAATTTAAGGAATAAAATCTCGCTCAAATTTAGTTCTTATATTGGATCAAATCCACATAAACACAATATGTGTATATATGGTTATGTGTGTGAGCATGAATGTATGTATGTATGAATGTAATTACTATAATATAGGACCATATTATTTGTATCATCGTTTGTCCTTCAGTAGAGGACTTGTATGAACTTGCTTTTCAATCCTCTTGTCTTATGACAATAAAATTTCATGAAATGGAAAAAATGTCTTTTTCTGCCTGTACTTGTTGAGGTGCCTTCAAGTGAATATTTCTTTAGTTCTTATTGTCCCAGCTTCATCGAATTTGTATTCGGATTAAGATTCTGTAAACGTTAATTGAGGAGGAATCCATGACCATATAAAAGAATGATACAGCCTTTACAACAAGAACCTTGGGACTATTATTTATTGTTCTTGTAAAAGCAAATCTTGTTTGACAGTTGTGTTAATAAAAACCTCATATAATACGTCGTAGGAAATTCAGTGTGGTAGACAATTTTAAAAATGATATTCCATGGATTTGGAGATGACAATGGATAGAAGCGCCCTATACTCCATATCGGGGTTCATTTCAGTAGCAGGTATGTACTGAATACATAAGGTAGTTTGAAACGTGGTTGACGTTAATATTAAGACAATCACAAGGACTAAAGGATATATCTTTACCCGTTTGTCCGGTCAAACTTACGTTTGTGACAACACAGTTTAGTGTACACAGTTCACCGTCAACACATCAGCCCGCGAATAAAGATGTTGCGTCAAAGGCGTCAAAATCTTTATAAAATTATTTTCAATAAATACTTTCTGTATTCTTCATTTGTACGTGAGGAACAGGCCTTCGTTGTAATTTTTGGGCTGATGTATTTTTTCATGTATCAAAACGCAAAAGAAACGGTAATAAGAAATCAATACGCGAAAGATCGGTCCGAAAACAACGAGTAGCATTCGTGAAACATTCAGCATAATCAGCGAAAATAAATATTTTATACTCGAAATATTCTGACGTCTATAAAGAAAATTTAAGCAAAGTTGAGTTTTTGAGTTTGACCATCATCTGACTTTTATACTTCTTTAAACTTAAAACGTTTGTTTGTATGACGTCGACATCCTTATGAAATCTAAAAGACTGTGTTTACAAACCAAAATAAAAAAGAACAAATCTAAAGTTAGGATAAGGCTGGTTTATCTAACACAAGTTAAAAACCGATCATTTTAAACTACATTAACGTTGAGTCGTGTGCATGCCCTATAAGGATCCAGCGTCTGAGTAGACAACTGAAATCGCACCGCAACAATTTAACTTATATACATACAAGAAATCATATACCAAATTTAAAAAAGAAAATATAAAAGATTTTTAAGTATTTAATTTTCCCTTTCTTTCTTTTAAAGATTTGGCCGATTATGTAATAAAATAAATTCTTCCGTCGTTCCCAGCGAGATAACGTGGACAGAGTTACATACTTTAATTATAGTTTGTAATGAGTTTGTGAACAAACGAGGCTAGTGCATGTGCTATGACCATAACAGGAATTAAATTGAAGAGGCGATTTCAACATTATATTTTGGACTTATACCACGTAGTCCGATTTCAACATTATATTTTGGACTTATACCACGTAGTCCGATTTCAACATTATATTTTGGACTTATACCACGTAGTTCGATTTCAACATTATATTTTGGACTTATACCACGTAGTTCGATTTCAAGGAATTTTCTGTTAAATTTAACGTGAATGTTATCATGCCATTTGTATATCATGAGGGTGTGTAAATACCTGAGGAACTATGTGAGATACTGAAGTGCATGATGAGTGAATTTTTCGGATTTTAAGTTTATTCTTTACGACATAAAGCATGTATGAATTTATCCTGTGGACTATGATTTGTATGAGTTGTTCCTGCAGTGCCACCTGCTATATCGGACTAAACCAGGAGTACGTGCCTGAAAAAACACTACACAAGTCTGCTCTGGTTAGTTAGGGTCGATGTATGTAAAACACTCTTCTATTTTTTCATACCAAATTAAGTATTTCCCACCAGTCACATGCTACATTGGTCACTATGCATTGTTTCATAAATAGCTGTATTTCCCAACTTTCTGCGGGGTTCAACACACAGCAGCTCGGCACGTGTCCCCTACTAACGTCGCGGAAGCAAGACTTCTGTGTTACCTTTTTATGCATTTTAGTGTCAAATATGACAACTCTGAAGAGAAGAGAAATACGGACATTTTTCGAATTTCTATTGTTTATTACGTTATCAATATAAACTATATATAACTTCATCGAGAAGACATCCTTCTTCTCAGGACTAACCGCCCCTGATATTTACAATACATAGATTTGGGTTAGGAACTTGCGCCAAGCCCCTGTGTAATGACGTCGCTCTCCTTTTACTAGGGCAATGCTGTTTAATCAAAACTAAAGGCTTCAATGCTGTTTTATACAATCTATTTTCATTCTAAAGTCACAGCCTACGAAATTTCATTAATTGATAAGTATATTACAGATTTGAAAAATAAAGATATCTTTCGTCATTAATGTTATCAGATATGATACAAATATAATACAACTGAGCATACATATATAAGTCATGACTACCAGGACACCATCACAATTCACTTCCAGCACTTTTTTCAACCCTCTGACACACTTTATACAACCATTTATTTCCAATACTGAACAATATGTTTAAACACAATAGATTCATATATTTCCCTTCATCTCACACTTTCAAATATTCCTACAAGCAGTTGCACACTATCCATATAAACAAACATTTCTTTCGGTCTTGAAATTTATTTTATAGGATATATTATATGATGGCTTAGCCTTCATTGTGAGTACCAGACTGGGAACATCATTATAACCTTCGGACAGGACTTAAATACAGGGAATGTACAATTAACAATGTCTACGAGTCATTTCTCTTTAAATCAATATTCGTAATAAAAAAAAAAAAAAAAACACAAGGACGTCTACTTCCTTTGAAATCACCAGTGTCATTATCCAGGATAGACATCTTTGAAGCTAATCTACATACATATTCATGTACGAACAATCAATGTTTTCTTCCAGTTTCTAAGTAACATCCGCCATATCCTGGTAATATGCCTTTTAATTTTTTTTCATATTTTGATCAAAGCTAATTTTCATAAATTGTTTTCCTATTATCTATTACACTACGGGGTCATAGGTCAGGTGAACAAACCCACCCAACCACTCTCTATATCAAATAACTATATACAAAACCAAACTCTCCATATATATCTATTGTAACTGCCGGCATATCACTTGAGATCAGTAAATTGTCATTACACACGCTAACGACAGATATACCCTATACCATGTGAAACCAACAGTGGTTCAGAGTTCAGCACTTTTACAGCCACAGATCCTGTCAGGATCGGATGTCCAGATAATTAACGTACCGGACATGGAAGTAGACCTGCCAAGATCAGCTGACCGTCGATCTGTCACCGATACCAAGGCGGCTAACAACGATTAAATCCAACACGACACCACAATTGCTGTCTTAAACTACATGACACTTGGTCCGACGACTGATCACACCAGTCCCTACGGAACCAAGGCAATCTGTCTTTGTAACGAGTCAACTAAAACTAGTACTGTCAAGTCTCCTCCGAGTAAATCTGGTACATACTTTTAGAGGCGTCTTTTGTTTGACCGTAATACAGTCAACAGGCTTGTTTTCAGGAGACGTTCATGGAAGTTTGTATTGCTTCTGTTGTCTTTTAAATGGTTTTTATGAAATTAATTGAAAAGTATTTTTGGAATGAATTTCAATACATCACATAATTTTGATTCTCAAACCATTTCATTTGGTACCATTCCATTTTTTTCAATAAAATTTGCTTAACAGTTGGAAATAATTAAAATGTTTAAAGTCAAGTTTCATGGCATAGTAAGTTTTTTTAACCAAATATCTTATCTACTTGATCATAAAACGTTTTCATACTGAAGCATTGATCCAGTTCTAATATGGACCTGTTGCACACGAATGCAGTACAAATTTTCCAAGTCGTATTCTACGCTAAAGTATCGATACAGTTATTAACCTATCATGTTTCGAGTCGGAACAGTTTTAAAGGTATTTTCTAGTCCCAGATATGTTTAAGCCGTATAGAATATAGCTGTCATGTTCTGTCACATGATGCATCGAACTTACACACACAAACATCCTACCTTACAACATGGTATAACTTGCACTTTGTTTGTTTGGCTCAACTAGCAATATCTATATATACAAAGGATGAATATATTTACTTACAACATGATCGGTAATGTAACTATCACAATTTGGATCTTCAGCAGATGATCCTTATTATTAATACCACGCCGTCCACACCACTCTCATATACACTACTGGGGCAGGCGGGACTACTGACGATACGTCACAGCACATGGTGTATTAACAAGGTCAAGCAATAACCAGTATTGCCTAAGACGTAATTCATAGTTATATTCATTGTAGTTTGCTATCCTTGACGTGAAATTTGTATGCAAGGAGAATGAGAAGGAACCTTTTTGTTAACGTGTCTATGCTCGTTTCCGTAGGAATGTCATAGGTCATGACATTATTTTACTTGTCTTGATGACCGGGTGCCAGTAATCAGTTGGTCGATGTGGATGTTCCATTATGTCGTACCAATGATCCAGCTGTTCTCCGTGACTGTACCAACCCAGCTCCACCTGTACACACACAACACCATAACTTAAACATAGTACAAATTAATCGAGTGAGTTACTGTTGAAAGCAATTTTAAAGCTATTTACTTTGGTTATATACTTATTATTGTTATTTACATTGGAGACCAAACAAAACAGAGAATAAAGGAAGCCGATAAAAAAATTGCTAATTGATTCATGTCTTACTGTAAAATAACTTAATACATGTTTTGATATCTTTATACCATTTTTTCTCAATTCATGATATCGATGTAATACGCTGATAAACATTTTCTAAATCTGTCCATCACCCGTCGTTAGCAACAGTTGTGGTGCTTCCCATGACTTCCCATTAATGTTGCAAGGGAAAACAACATTGTTTATGTCATTATCAGTGTAATTCCCATCACCATTGTACCAAAGACAATACTGTCTTTATTCAGCTACAAATAAAACAATGGACCACTTCTCTTCTCTGAGGTCACATAGTATAACAATGAACCACTTCTCTTGTCTCTGGTCACATAATAAAACAATGGACCACTTCTCTTGTCTCTGGTCACATAATAAAACAATGGACTACTTCTCTTGTCTCTGGTCACATAATAAAACAATGGACCACTTCTCTTGTCTCTGGTCACATAATAAAACAATGGACCACTTCTCTTGTCTCTGGTCACATAATAAAACAATGGACCACTTCTCTTGTCTCTGGTCACATAATAAAACAATGGACCACTTCTCTTGTCTCTGGTCACATAATAAAACAATGGACCACTTCTCTTGTCTCTGGTCACATAATAAAACAATGGACCACTTCTCTTGTCTCTGGTCACATAATAAAACAATGGACCACTTCTCTTGTCTCTGGTCACATAATAAAACAATGGACCACTTCTCTTGTCTCTGGTCACATAATAAAACAATGGACCACTTCTCTTCTCTGGTCACATAATAAAACAATGGACCACTTCTCTTCTCTGAGGTCACATAGTATAACAATGGACCACTTCTCTTCTCTCTGGTCACATAATAAAACAATGGACCACTTCTCTTGTCTCTGGTCACATAATAAAACAATGGACCACTTCTCTTGTCTCTGGTCACATAATAAAACAATGGACCACTTCTCTTCTCTGATCACATAATAAAACAATGGACCACTTCTCTTCTCTGAGGTCACATAATAAAACAATGGACCACTTCTCTTGTCTCTGGTCACATAATAAAACAATGGACCACTTCTCTTCTCTCTCTGGTCACATAATAAAACAATGGACCACTTCTCTTGTCTCTGGTCACATAATAAAACAATGGACCACTTCTCTTGTCTCTGGTCACATAATAAAACAATGGACCACTTCTCTTCTCTGAGGTCACATAATAAAACAATGGACCACTTCTCTTCTCTGAGGTCACATGGACCACTTCTCTTCTCTGGTCACATAATAAAACAATGGACCACTTCTCTTGTCTCTGGTCACATAATAAAACAATGGACCACTTCTCTTGTCTCTGGTCACATAATAAAACAATGGACCACTTCTCTTCTCTCTGGTCACATGATAAAACAATGGACCACTTCTCTTGTCTCTGGTCACATAATAAAACAATGGACCACTTCTCTTGTCTCTGGTCACATAATAAAACAATGGACCACTTCTCTTGTCTCTGGTCACATAATAAAACAATGAAACACTTCACCTGTCTCTCGACACATAATAAAACAATGGACCACTTCTCTTCTCTGGGTCACATAATAAAACAATGGACCACTTCTCTTGTCTCAATGGTCACATAATAAAACAATGGACCACTTCTCTTCTCTCTGGTCACATGATAAAACAATGGACCACTTCTCTTCTCTGAGGTCACATAATAAAACAATGGACCACTTCTCTTGTCTCTGGTCACATAATAAAACAATGGACTACTTCTCTTGTCTCTGGTCACATAATAAAACAATGGACTACTTCTCTTGTCTCTGGTCACATAATAAAACAATGGACCACTTCTCTTCTCTGAGGTCACATAGTATAACAATGGACCACTTCTCTTGTCTCTGGTCACATAATAAAACAATGGACCACTTCTCTTGTCTCTGGTCACATAATAAAACAATGGACCACTTCTCTTCTCTGAGGTCACATAATAAAACAATGGACCACTTCTCTTCTCTGAGGTCACATAGTATAACAATGGACCACTTCTCTTGTCTCTGGTCACATAATAAAACAATGGACCACTTCTCTTCTCTGAGGTCACATAATAAAACAATGGACCACTTCTCTTCTCTGACACATAATAAAACAATGGACCACTTCTCTTCTCTGACATAATAAAACAATGGTCACATAATAAAACAATGGACCACTTCTCTTGTCTCTGGTCACATAATAAAACAAAGGTCACATAATAAAACAATGGACCACTTCTCTTCTCTGAGGTCACATAATAAAACAATGGACCACTTCTCTTCTCTGAGGTCACATAATAAAACAATGGACCACTTCTCTTCTCTGAGGTCACATAATAAAACAATGGACCACTTCTCTTGTCTCTGGTCACATAATAAAACAATGGACCACTTCTCTTCTCTGAGGTCACATAGTATAACAATGGACCACTTCTCTTCTCTGAGGTCACATAATAAAACAATGGACCACTTCTCTTCTCTGAAAACAATGGACCACTTCTCTTGTCTCTGGTCACATAATAAAACAATGGACCACTTCTCTTGTCTCTGGTCACATAATAAAACAATGGACCACTTCTCTTCTCTGAGGTCACATAATAAAACAATGGACCACTTCTCTTCTCTGAGGTCACATGATAAAACAATGGACCACTTCTCTTGTCTCTGGTCACATAATAAAACAATGGACCACTTCTCTTGTCTCTGGTCACATAATAAAACAATGGACCACTTCTCTTCTCTGAGGTCACATATAAAACAATGGACCACTTCTCTTGTCTCTGGTCACATAATAAAACAATGGACCACTTCTCTTGTCTCTGGTCACATAATAAACATAATAAAACAATGGACCACTTCTCTTCTCTGAGGTCACATAATAAAACAATGGACCACTTCTCTTGTCTCTGGTCACATGATAAAACAATGGACCACTTCTCTTCTCTGAGGTCACATAATAAAACAATGGACCACTTCTCTTGTCTCTGGTCACATAATAAAACAATGGACCACTTCTCTTGTCTCTGGTCACATAATAAAACAATGGACCACTTCTCTTCTCTGATAAAACAATGGTCACATAACATAAAACAATGGACCACTTCTCTTGTCTCTGGTCACATAATAAAACAATGGACCACTTCTCTTCTCTCTGGTCACTTCAATGGACCACTTCTCTTCTCTGAGGTCACATAATAAAACAATGGACCACTTCTCTTCTCTGGTCACATAATAAAACAATGGACCACTTCTCTTGTCTCTGGTCACATAATAAAACAATGGACCACTTCTCTTGTCTCTGGTCACATAATAAAACAATGGACCACTTCTCTTCTCTGAGGTCACATAATAAAACAATGGACCACTTCTCTTCTCTGAGGTCACATAATAAAACAATGGACCACTTCTCTTGTCTCTGGTCACATAATAAAACAATGGACCACTTCTCTTCTCTGTCTCTGGTCACATAATAAAACAATGGACCACTTCTCTTGTCTCTGGTCACATAATAAAACAATGGACCACTTCTCTTCTCTGAGGTCACATAATAAAACAATGGACCACTTCTCTTGTCTCTGGTCACATAATAAAACAATGGACCACTTCTCTTGTCTCTGGACCACTTCTCTTCTCTGTCACATAATAAAACAATGGACCACTTCTCTTCTCTCTGGGTCACATAATAAAACAATGGACCACTTCTCTTCTCTCTGGTCACATAATAAAACAATGGACCACTTCTCTTGTCTCTGGTCACATAATAAAACAATGGACCACTTCTCTTGTCTCTGGTCACATAATAAAACAATGGACCACTTCTCTTGTCTCTGGTCACATAATAAAACAATGGACCACTTCTCTTCTCTCTGGTCACATGATAAAACAATGGACCACTTCTCTTCTCTGAGGTCACATAATAAAACAATGGACCACTCACATAATAAAACAATGGACCACTTCTCTTCTCTGGTCACATAATAAAACAATGGACCACTTCTCTTGTCTCTGGTCACATAATAAAACAATGGACCACTTCTCTTGTCTCTGGTCACATAATAAAACAATGGACCACTTCTCTTGTCTCTGGTCACATAATAAAACAATGGACCACTTCTCTTTTCTCTGGTCACATAATAAAACAATGGACTACTTCTCTTGTCTCTGGTCACATAATAAAACAATGGACCACTTCTCTTGTCTCTGGTCACATTCTCTTGTCTCTGGTCACATAAAACAATGGACTACTTCTCTTCTCTCTGGTCACATAATAAAACAATGGACTACTTCTCTTCTCTCTGGTCACATAATAAAACAATGGACTACTTCTCTTGTCTCTGGTCACATAATAAAACAATGGACTACTTCTCTTCTCTCTGGTCACAAAATAAAACAATGGACTACTTCTCTTCTCTGAGGTCACATAATAAAACAATGGGCTACTTCTCTTCTCTGAGGTCACATAGTATAACAATGGACTACTTCTCTTCTCTCTGGTCACAAAATAAAACAATGGACTACTTCTCTTCTCTGAGGTCACATAATAAAACAATGGGCTACTTCTCTTCTCTCTAGTCATTTAACAAAATAAAGGATCACATCTTCACATGCCTTACAAACTTACCTGGCCTATTTTCTGTATCCCCATCATCATGTCTTTGTGTATTACATGGAATACAAACACGTGGCCTAACAGCTTGGGATTCTCGCGATTAATTTCAAACACACACGGATGGTTCCATACAGGATCCTGTGTGTTCTGCCGGACTTTCGTCTTGTGTTTGGCTTCCCTCATTCCGTTCACGTACATTTCTACCTTCACGTACGGATCTGTAAATAAAGAGGTAATTGTTGAAAGAATGTCTGAAGCACTGTTTGATGCTCGGTTGTCATATACATAGCAATACATAGTATCTTACCCTGATGTCACCATTGAACGGGGTCTAATTATTCATCTAGTAAGTTAACCTTCCAGCAATATTCAATGTGGCTGAAGCAAATTGAAACCTTTGCCCTTTCCAGATGGTGACAATCGGTTCAACGAACTTGTTGATTCAAACGGGTCCACATTTACGACATGTCATAGACATAAGCTGTTTTAGATACATTAATAAGAATACACCCACAATTAATTGTATACTTAGTGAGGGCAGGAAACATTTACCAGAGCTATCATTAGAAAAAAACTTCTTGACATTTTAAATTATATTTTAGATCGGGTAATGTCAAAAAGTCACGGAAAAAAACCAGTGTAATTCTTACCCCCAAACAGGGTAATGACATATTCCTCCAGTTACCACCCAATATCACTTACGAATTGCTTAGGTAAAACTCTAGAGCGGATGATAAATTCAAGATTAATTTGGTATCTGGAATCCAATCACATAATATCACCCCTACAAAGCAGTTTTAGATATAGGCGAGGTACCAATGATCATTTGAAACCTTTGTGCGTGAGGCTAAAGAAGGAATAATTGGTTGCTGATTTCTTTGATTTGGAACAGGCTTACGACACAACGTGGAAATACGGCATAATGAAAGATCTATAGGTATTAGAGGTATGCTACCAAATTTTATTCAAAGTCCGGAATGAAACGACCCTTTCCGATGTTCATTAGCCGATAATGGTTGTACCACAAGGTAGCATTCTCTCGGTTACACTTTTTATAATTAAAATTAAAAGTATTGTCAAAACATTATCCCCTTCAATGGAGGGTGTTCTTTATGTCGATGACTTCATTATATGCTATCGATCAAAGCATATGGATACCATCGAAAGACAACTTCAACAATGTTTGAATCGACTACAGATTTGGGCAGATGAAAATGGTTTTAAATTTTCACAATCAAAAACAGTTTGTATGCATTCTTGTCAAATCCGGAAACAACGCGACAATCCAAATTTATCTTTTTCTTTGATATATAACCATTCCAATTGTTAAGCAAACCAAATTCTTTCCACATATAAAATACCTTAAAGTTAGATGCCTTAAGACACTGAATATTCTAAAGATGGTGTCCCACACTAGTTAGGGCTGAGAGATTCGTAATAAGTGTGTACTATGTTGGAGATGTGTATTTAACTTACTGATGGCTCCTAGAAGTGAAACTCGTGGTAGATTTCGAGCTTCTAGTACATTAAACACAATCTTGCCAGCCACCGGTTGATAGCACCCCGATATCCGAATGTCTCCTTGATGCAACTAAAACAAGTGCAAAAGATCTGCATTTACAATTTCTTCAATATGGAAGGTTTTTGATATGTTTGTTTACAGACGTCGAATAACTGTACAAAGCTTTGTCTATATCAAGCAAAGTAATGATATTGATCTATTTCCCTAAATTTTAAGCAAATCTCCTCAAAAGGAATGACTTGCTTACCCTAAACACCGTCTGTGGCATGATGGTGAGGTCTACCAAGCCATTGTCCAATTTGGGCACGTCCTTCAGAAGAAAGGATGCTACGCCCACAAGATGGCGCCGGGAAACATGATGTGAAGAGTATATTTGAAACTCCATGGCAGCATCATCGCTTAAGTCACTTGGCACAAGGTCTGATATTGTGAACTTTTCAAGAAAGACTGGGGTCTGTAAGAAAAGTGTGGCAACATATGATTAGGATGAATAATCACACGTAATTAGATGTGCTTAAAGACCTAACCAAAGCTGCTTATGGAATGGTTGCAATCCCTACCTTAGTTAATCTAAATCAAAGCCTTGTAAATAAGTTTGGAGTATAAACTATGAAATGTGATTTTCAACCGCGGTAAAGTTTTTTCCGCGCTGAAATCATCAAAATGAATCAAATAACAAAGTAAACTTCGAAGACTGGAATACAATGGCAGATCACACAAACCGATTGGTATCGTACCTCGAGGATGGAGAAATCATCGCGTGTTAATCGCCTTTAATTAATCGATCGATTCCATGCTATGATGGTTTTCTAACAGTTCTAAGGACCTACGTGAAACCTCAGGCTGAAAGGAACACGGAATGTGGTAAACAGTGATTGAAAACGAGTGTTAGGCAGGTTATTGTAATAATTGTACAACGTCGATTCTTTGAAGTCGGAAAACCAGATCTGATAAACTTTGACATTTTCAGTTCCCCAGAATGTAAGATGCTAGTATTATATTCTCGATATTATCCGACTTGAGATGTGACAAAATAGAAATCAGCCAGAGATTTAATGATCACAAGTCTAAGTATTTATCAAGCAGATTCACACGTCTTTCACATCCGCTAAGAATTCTGTATATAGAAGGGTTCGTGAAATATCTGTTGATTGAACGTTCTTAATTGAAATATTTTATTTTGCGTTTCAAAATTGAAACGTGACGTTCTACGTTACAAAAATCTTTTTTTTTCAAAACTTATTAGATCTTTGATATCTTACTAAAACGATGAATAAAAACACGTGTCATTAGGTTTCATAAGAAGAAAAGAAGAAAGAAAATCGATATAAAATACAACAAGAAATTACTAGCATATAACCATTATCATAATCTAAATACAACGAGAATACATCTCCTACTTCATCGACCACACCCGCCATGTAAATCTTGGTCAATCCAAGTAAGTAATGTCACGTCCTCAAATGAGAGCAAGGCAAACAACAACGGAACCAAGACCAAACTAACGAGCATCAAACACGCTCACAAAGAAAATAGGTCTCAATAAGATCACTATAACTTCCGCCTTGACCATATTATATGTACCAGAGAAATAATCACATGAAACATGAAAAAGAAAACATTCATTGTACCTGAAAGCGTAAAATATAGAATATATCAATGAGGTCGGTATTTTCTACCTGTTTTTCCAATATGGATTCATTTACGAAAGGAATTCAGGTCTTGAAAGTCATTAAATCATAAAAAAATATTTCAGTATGGTTTCTCGGCATTCATATTTTCGAAGACTAGTGACGATTTGTGGTGAAAAATTACCTTTGTTTTCGGAAGAGTTTTCGTCCGGTATTTGAAAGTCCTCCCCGGGACGAGAAAGGCTTTGACGTATGGGTTGATCTCACTGTCACATGGCATGTCAGCTATGCGTAAGTTTTCTGCCTAAAACAGATAACATGATGGTATGCCTCAAACATCAAGTAACTGATCAAAAGTGGGCCATATAAACGTACATGTATACAATGTAGCACAACATGTGACACAGGAAATCACGCAACCCTTTTACTTCGTGTCAAAGCATAGATCGTAATGATAAAATTTTGACAGCTGATGTAGCAATCTACCTCAATGATTATGACTGTCAGTGATGTGCGGTTGGTGTTGAACTGAAACTGGACTTTTAGACGGCCAGTGGGCAGCTGTTGAGGAGCCTGTCTCGGCACCATCATCTCCTCCAAGTTGAGGTCATGCATCACAACTGGGCGATCAGGCAGTCCGATACTACCAGGCCTCTGTAAAACAAAACAGCGACAATGTTAAAAACACTTCCAGCACGATTACGACAGTTACCCATTACAAACATGACACAGATATCTGGCAAGAATTAAAATGTACTTGTATTTGATGGATGTTTTATAAATATAAAAAGTTCCGAAAAAGGCAACAATAAGACATTGTTTTTAAATTCGAAGGAAACCGATTGTATGCTCTGTACATGCTATGTATGTTTCATCTTACCTTTTTACATATTGAAAACGAATTTAAGTCTTCCTCGAAATCATATCACCCCAAGTCGATAAAATGTGATTTGATGGAACATTTGCACATGTAGGTTCAGTTCGCATACCAATCTATACATATTAAAGATAATCCATCAAATAATTCTAATAACATTTCCCCCTTATCTGCTGGTGGGCTTCTGGTACCGAGGTTTGCCGTCACCTGCATGCCACGTTTTAATTTATTCAAACAGTAGTATCTGAAATTGTCAGGTATCTAAATAACGTAATTTATTTAATTATGTGGCTGATGCACCTCCCCGTCTACATTTTGGACATTTCTTTCGATCACTTTGGTTTTTCCATAGCTGTATGGTGCAGTTTATCTAACCCTAAATTAATAAAAGGTGTTTTTTACTTGTGTGCCTTTTGTACAATATCAAATATTTTACTAATAATATATCGATGTGTGGTTGGTACATTATCTGAGACTGGTACAGTATCACTGTGGTTGGTACATTATCTGAGACTGGTACAGTATCACTGTGGTTGGTACATTATCTGAGACTGGTACAGTATCACTGTGGTTGGTACATTATCTGGTACAGTATCACTGTGGTTGGTACATTATCTGAGACTGGTACAGTATTACTGTGGTTGGTACATTATCTGAGACTGGTACAGTATCACTGTGGTTGGTACATTATCTGAGACTGGTACAGTATCACTGTGGTTGGTACATTATCTGAGAGTGGTACAGTATCACTGTGGTTGGTACATTATCTGAGACTGTGGTACAGTATCACTGTGGTTGGTACATTATCTGAGACTGGTACAGTATCACTGTGGTTGGTACATTATCTGGTACAGTATCACTGTGGTTGGTACATTATCTGAGAGTGTGGTACAGTATCACTGTGGTTGGTACATTATCTGAGACTGGTACAGTATTACTGTGGTTGGTATATTATCTGAGACTGGTACAGTATCACTGTGGTTGGTACATTATCTGGTACAGTATCACTGTGGTTGGTACATTATCTGAGACTGGCACAGTATCACTGTGGTTGGTACATTATCTGAGACTGGTACAGTATCACTGTGGTTGGTACATTATCTGAGACTGTGGTACAGTATCACTGTGGTTGGTACATTATCTGAGACTGTGGTACAGTATCAGTATCACTGTGGTTGGTACATTATCTGAGTGACTCCTATGTGTTGAAGAATCATTTGCTGTTGGTAATCTCACCTTGCGGTATTTGCAATTCTAACAGGATGCTTAATAATATCATGGAATAAAATCTGAGTGTAGGTTTAAACATTTAGACCTTTCACATCACTGTCCTAGATTATGACGATAGATTCATTATATTCCTTTCTTCTACCTTATTCTAAGATTGCATTTAAATGATATTCATTTGTGCATTTTCTGAAAAATTTTCATAAGATTTAGCATGAAGGAATGTTATGTTAAAAATAGTATTTTTTCTTGTTAGCCGAGTAGAGCGTTACCAGGAGAACGATAAGCTAATGACTAACGTGGTGAAGGCGTCAACTTTAACATTTCCGCTTGATTTTGATACTGAAGGCTATCGTATTAATATATCAAGATAATTACAACGTTATCTGTTCAATGTAATGACAACCTCCAGCCTGATTAGCCCGCCGATCCGGGTCTCTAGCGCGTTTCTCCTTTCATGTTATGTCCGCTGCCTGTTCACCGTCAGTGTCATCGACATTTATATGCAAAGCTTCTATTTATACACCTTGCGTCTCAGAGAAAAAAGCTTTGCGGTTAAGCTTGGTAACACCTACACACAAATTATATTTGACGGTACAGACGAAGAACCGGCGAGTATTCACGTCAACTCAACAAAACACTGTCCCTGCCTGTTATATTGAAGTAACATAATGAAGTACTATATTAATACTTTGCTTCATTACTATTATAAGTTTGTCGTCGTCTTAATTTCAGAAGGCACCAAAAAAGTCACTTTTCACCCTTCTTTCACTACATTACACTAACATGGCTGATCGATAAAATACTTTTCATGTGAGTTTCAAAATGTGGACAAGACAGGATAGTTATGCGTAAAACGTACATATAAGTCATTCTATTTTAGTGCAGACAATTTACCATATCAGTACTAAGTAACACAGTCAAATAGCACAAGTTAGGACATGTATGTATATAGTAACGCCACTGTAATCAGTAGCAATTGTCAATGGGCTCGCCATAAAGAGATGTCTTTGAGGATGACACGCCTTCATGTCTGGTTTGCATTTAGTACCACTGAATCTGTCTCAAAGTTATACCCAATAATGTTAGTAAAACATCAATACAATACATTTAATCACATTTCTAGCAGTACACAGAAAATGAAAGATCCCTTTGATTTACTATATACATATATACTGTTTCAGAAGTTTACACTGGGCTATTAGAGGCAGTAAGTCACGCGCGACTCGCACGAGCTGTACATCAGCAATATGACTGATTGTTGCGACCAGCTTTGGTTTCACCTTCTCTTTACTATTGCATGTATATGCAGTATCAATAAATACAATATTCACGTGGTATTTTGTAGAATACCATTAAAAGTTACTGGTTATGATTCCCTCATCATGTCCTCATATCCACACTCAGTCTCTATACCCCGCCCCTCGTCCTTATTCCACACCTTGTCCTCATATCCACACTCAGTCTCTATACCCCGCCCCTCGTCCTTATTCCACACCTTGTCCTCATATCCACACTCAGTCTCTATACCCCGCCCCTCGTCCTTATTCCACACCTTGTCCTCATATCCACACTCAGTCTCTATACCCCGCCCCTCGTCCTTCTTCCACACCTTGTCCTCATATCCACACTCAGTCTCTATACCCCGCCCCTCATCCTTATTCCACACCTTGTCCTCATATCCATACTTGGTCCTTATACACTTCCCCTTGTCTTCATATCCACACTCTTCAATATACTACCCTGCTCCTTCCCTTAATATCCACACCCTATCCTCATATCCATACCATGTACTTGTCCGTATATCCACCCCTTGTCTTAATATCCACACTCTTCCCTATACCCTGCCCCGTGTATCCTGCCCCTTGTCTTAATATCCACACTCTTACCTATATCCACCCCTTGTCTTAATATCCACACTCTTCCCTATATCCACCCCTTGTCTTAATTTCCACACTCTTCCCTATATCCTGCCCCTTGTCTTAATATCCACATTCTTCCCTATATCCTGCCCCTTGTCTTTATATCCACACTCTGTCCCCATACCCTGCCCCTTGTCTTAATATCCACACTCTTCCCTATACCCTGCCCCTTGTCTTAATATCCACACTCTTCCCTATACCCTGCCCCTTGTCTTAATATCCACACTCTTCCCTATACCCTGCCCCTTGTCTTAATATCCACACCCTATCCCCATATCCACGCCTTGTCTTTATATCCACACTCTATCCTCATATCCACACCTCGTCACCTTGTACTTACTACACTGACGTATCATTATATCATACAGTTTACACATATGATGATATCTACAACTTATACTTACATCCACATTGTGTTATTTTATTTACACTTGATACTAATTTCCACACCTTGTGTTCAACCTTAAATCTGTACTTACACTTTTAGATTTCTTCCTTGGGTGATAAGCGGGTCCAACTGGATTAACGGTACCGTCTAGTGCGTTCATACTGCTGACAACCAGGGAGGACAAAGTTACTCTTCGACTGTCACCACGCCCCCTTCCTATAACGATAATTTAAAATTGCTTCAACTTATAACGCCACATAAAGTATCTTACCCAATGTCTTTATTTTAAAAACTGTACAGAAAAAAAAGTTAAAATATTGTCACAAACACAATGCACACGTCATGAACCGTCCGTCATCAGTCGAGTGTCCATGTGGATGGGTAATGTAATCGTGTGTTTTCACGGACACACACTGGTTTGTATACTATGTAGTTTTTTTTTTATTACGATTTAGGTAATGCATACACTGATTGTTGCATTACGACGTATATAGTAAACGTCTCGTCTCTGTTGACTAACTTATGATGAAATATCTCAACCAGTTCGCCTTGTCACGCTGGTACGATGGATTTGATTTAAACTTGTTTTAACGTCTGGTATACATTTAACAAATTAACAAATTACTTCGTCGCATTTTGGTCGTATAATGCATTGTATTTAAAAAAACCCAAACAACTCTGTGCATTTGCTGTCGGAATTAATTCTTGGTTAATGAAATGAATACAGTAAAAACAACATGATTTTATCGTCCATATTTTAGGTGAAATTTTCAATTCCTCAAAACATCAGTTCGATCTCTCTCTCTATATTTAGATTTTCATAGCATGACTAAGACAATAAACACTAATTTGATGTCAGTAATCGATATTTTCATCAATGACTGTCCCGACATTTTAATTATCTGTATTAAGGGACAGATTTATTAACACAATTTTAAATACAGTAATAACTAACCCGATTAATTAAACTTTATTAGATACATTGAAATACATCATGTTCCAAACTTGTTATCTGGCATTTAGTCAGCTGATAAAAAGGCAAGATTCTGTTCCAGCACGTCAAACAGTCAGGTCGCTTTTCCATTCAATAAGTCATATGGTAACGACAGCGGAACCAATGTTTGCAGACATTCCAAGCCACCAATTACCAGACAAGTGCTTGACTATTTACAGGTTGAAATATAAAGTTGATGTACAGTATTATTATTTGATCAATCTAATTTTACGAATTTTTATAAATCTAATATTAAAAGATATCTGTGGCTTGTCAAACATCAAACCTGCTTCTAACATGGACATTTCACGAACAAAAGTATACCGCCAACGGCAATAGACACAGTATAGCGTTCCTTGTCAAATTTTATCTGTGTATAAAGTACATCCCAGCCTACTTGTAACACAATTGGCTGGAATACTCTACCACCCGACAAGTAATATGGGGTGCGTTCCAATACAATAAGTCATGAGTTGAGAATGTGGTAAAGAAGCCTTGGAGATAAGTTGACTATTGAATGAGTTACAAAGATCACTGATTACTATAGAACTTCTAGCCCTTCACCGCAATCCTCTCAGTAATAAAGATGTTCCCTAAACAGCTGTAATGGTTAACGACGTTAACAACGTATTTGACCTCTGAACTACACCGGTCCTTCAAGAACTACTATGACAACCCCAGAAGCCTCTTTCCATCACACAATAACAACACATTACAAAATGGCCATCTTCATAGTAATGCTATTTACGTCACCTACTATATTAGAACACGCGCTAAGATTTCACGCGCAATTACTATTTTATTGCTTCAAATGAATAGTAATGCCCTGTGTTATGAAAAGAAAGCCTAGATAAGTGGGTAAGGAACGGAAGCTAGCCTAATTGGCGTAAAGAAATAATGTTTACCTTCATTGGCTCCACTATGAAATGGCTGCCATAACAGAGCACATTAGAACCTCTTATCATCTGTTTTATGATTAAGTGGTGTGTTTCCACACGGAGACTCCGCGATCCGCTGGACAAGGCAGTACAAATTATAGCCAAACGATTTCCTAAATCATTGAAGCTCTGCAAAGCCGTATCCGTGAGCAACGCCATCATGTAGTGATGTTGATAGTGTTTATTGTCGCTTTGACCATCATATTAGTAAATTGTATTAGATACTCTCTCTCTTCGCCCCCCCCCTCACTCCCCCCCTCCCCCCCCACCTCTCTCCCTCTCTCCCCACTCTCTCTCTCGTGTGTGTTTTATGGTAAGTAAAACTATTTTTCACTTCTTGAAAATATTTGGTAAATATCAATTTCCGATGTGTTATCCAGCATTCTGCATTCTAAATTGCTATATGACTTTTTACACTGGAAGATTTGTAGATTGATTTCCGTTATACTCGATTTATGCCTAGTAATTATCACATGTCCTACTAAGTTAGTTATCACGGTATTTCATAGTCGTGTGTAAGCGGTTCTTCTTTCATTTGTGCGTGTTTGTTTTTGTGTATTCCTGTTTTTTGCTTGAGGGTTTTATTTTTTTTTTTTTTTTTTTGGGGGGGGGGGGGGGGGGGGGGGGGGGGGGGGGGGGGGGGGGGGGGGGGGGGGGGGGGGGGGGGGGGGGGGGATGGGCTAAATTTTCCTGTACCTGGTAAGGAAATTATTTTCTATATACATAGGGAGTTGATATTTAGAATGTGGACAGCAGTTACCTTGCAGTAAATGGTAAGAAGATGACTTCTGATATGCATGAGGGGTCTTAATTTGGTAGTTATTGTCAGAAGTATTCCCGGTAGGTCTGATGCAGATGTGTTATGTAACTATATATGTACAGGGAGAGATATCTTCGGTATAAGAAAGGAACTTATCTGCAGTAGGAAAAGTAATTAAATTCTAAGTTTGTGAAGAAAAGGGTGGAGCAATTATTGGTATTTTGTAACATCTGAGAATAGCCAGTAAAGTTCATTCTAGCCTGTTACACTGATACTGTATATTGGTACATATTTGGCAATCATTCATTTTTGTAGAACAAATTATGTTTGGTATCTCAAAAAGTATGCATTTGCTATTAAATCTAATCATATACTTTCTGAAACTGCATGGAATTTACATGTCAAAGTATTACGTAAAATGCGATTATAAGCTGAAATAGCTTGTGACCTAATCCGTGTGTGAAATTTTGCGATATTTAGAATTAACCTTGATATATATAATTTGATATATAGGTTTGTTATTACTGTGGTTTGTGAGACTTTTGAGTTATCTGATCTTTAGAATGGTGATTATGTTGGGCAGATATATGGAGATTATTTTTAGCATATGTTGGAAGATTATTTGCGTTTAGATACTATTGTTTGATATGTCAAGCATTCAAGACTTTGCGATTTTCACGGCGTTTTTCTTTGGTTAGCAATATAACAGACTAAGCTTGAGTCTAAATGATAAACATTTAGGTCCTGCCATTGATATATTAAAACAAACATGTTACCTGTTAACATTAAGAACTGGAGGTTAATTGGATTCATTGGAGCTGTTGATTCAGACTTTACATTCATAGTTTTATGCCTCCTCTTGTTTCACGACATATCCCTGAAGTCAACAGCTCGTACATAACCTGATTTACTGCTACCTAACTACAGAACGTGTCCGCTACCAGGCGGATGTCACCAGAAATAGCCAGCGCCTCGCCGTTGTACAACATACTAGGTACCTAATCAGCTACTCTCAATGCTTTTATTCCGATTTGTTTCTTTGGGGTTTCAAGTCTTAGAAAATTTCCCGACATCGATTTTGATAATCTCGGTCGATAATTTGTGTACAACCGATGGTATGATTTCTGTAAATCTCATGGTATTACCTGTGTATATCCTTTTTAATTCCAACATACCTGTCAGCTGAAATCAATAAAGTATCTATTGTGTTTTTGTAAGAGATATGAGGAGGAAAAGAAAACTCAGTATGACGCGTTAATTTACACACATAACCACCTAAGGAGGGGATGTGTATGGTCTGTACCAAACTGAATTGTATATGTGTAAGTACGTACATAAAGTGTCATCACGTCTATATTGATAAGATCTACACATTCTTGGAACATAATTGGGAAAAATATGTTGCAAAAATATGATGCAGTATATCATGCAAATTATTTTTTATGCAGATGTAGTAACATTAAGAATTTAGAAATTAGCAAAATCTCAGAAATATATTTAGAAGGGCTGTTCTATTGGCAAAAGTTGCTGAGAACCACTTCTATTTCCACTTCAGATGATGTACTCAACCAGAACTTATTTGGAAACCACAATCTACTATTTAAAAACAGTCCTATATTTTATAAAGGGTGGGCAAGTAGTGGGATTACCAAGGTTCAAGATATTTGGGATACGGAACAGCATGACTTTATTACATCAGGAGAATTACTAAGATTAAAGAATAATTGGATATCATACAACTATAAGAAAAGCCTTCTCTTTGGAATGGAAAAATATGCTACAAAATAACAATGGAAACAATAGAAAATTCAAAATTAAAGATTTATATTTCATTTATGGTAAAAATTCGCTGGCACTAAATAAACTATTTAATAAAGCTATTAAAAATGTATTGTTTCAAACAGCAAATCAGATAAAATCTATCCAGAAATGGGATACAGACTACAATCTAGAGTGGAAAGCAGTTTGGCATTCATTAAACAGCAGTAGACTAGAAAAAAAAGTAAAAGATTTTCAGTGGAGAAGTATACACAGAATTATAACCACTGAACACAAATTGAAAGAAATGAAGAAATCAAATGGTCTTTGTAATTTTTGTAAGGAAGAACAAGAAACACAACAACATCTTTTTAGTGAGTGCAGATTGAGTGAAGAGGTATGGCTACAAATTGAAAGGTTATTGAATGAGTGTCTCTTTAATGTTTCAGTAGATTATCAGTATATTGTTTTAACTGATAAAGAAAGGATTTTTGGTATATCAGAATATCCAGAGAACATCAACAAACTCTGTAACATTGTAATTTTTCATTCTAAGTGGTTAATCTGGAAGGCCAGAAATTCAAAGAAATTTGAAAATGAAATACAAAATCCACTATCTCTAATTGGTAAGATAAGAAATGAGTTGAGAGACAGAATAGATATGATAATAAGGACAAATAGAGAAGATTTCAGATTATATCAGTTGTTACATGCATTAAAAATACAGTTATAAATGTTTGTCAACTATGTTATATCCTAGGTGCTGATTCTGTTTCAGAGCAAATTAAATATGTTTTTACACATGTGCCCTGAAGTAATGATATATGAAAATATATATATATATATATATATGAAAATATATATATATATATAAATCATATTTCTGTACCAGGTACTGAAATATTATGTGTAATAGGTATTATGATAAAGACAAGTGTTGTGAATGGGAAATACAAATATCTGTAATACATTGTACTGTATGAATTGCTAATGGAAATAAAAAATTAGAGAGAAAAAAAAAAGATCTACACATTCTTTTCACGATGTTATTTTCTTGTCTGATACCAGTCTTTTGTAAACATTTTTCGACGTTGCTCGTGCTGTCATTGTGATCGTGATCATTGTGAAACAATCGCAAATTATCAATATATATTTTTCAATAAAGTTAAAATTAAGGAAAGAAGTTGTTTAACAAGAAACAGAGTCACCATGCCAGTTGTTGTTATAATGACACAATGTGACAATGTATTTTATGTTTTGTATTGTTTCCAACAGATCAGGTGCTGAATAGTCACGTAAACGATAAGAAGACCTCTAGTTAAAGTCATGATAATGCTGGCATGATCACAAAATGTATCTAATATAGAATTTACCTTCGGGTAAGAACACGTGAGTAGGCCGCCGTATTTCCGCCAATGAGTGACTGCGTCGGTATGGCTTCTTCTTTTCCTTTTCCTGTCCTGCCTTACCGGAAGACACCTCCTCCAGGCTCGATCTGCGCACTTCCTGTTTTTGCATTTCATCTAGAAATTCCTCTTCGATGGCTTCCGAATCAGAAAAATCTGGGGAAAAAATGTTGATATAAGTGGTCACATAGAGTATATGTGGCGCCTAGTTATGGAAAGTACATACACACAGTGCGAGGCGTGACCGGAAACCAACTATAATATCTACATCCGGGCTTTATCGCGCCTATCATTTGTACTTAAAGATGTTTCATTTATCGTAAATCAAATCCATATTTAAATACATATTTAGTATATAGCAGTGGTGAAGAAAAGAAATGTCAGTCAAAGTACGTACGCATAAGCAAAAAGTGTGACCACCAAAATCGTAATATAAGTTGATATGTTTTACCCGTGCTTCAGAAATAAATGTAGAAAACAAACAAAGTTCAGACATCACGAAAACAAAACTTGAAGGAAGTTTGTAATGTAATTTAAGCGAAATTGTTACCGTCTGAATGTTCAGAATAGATTGTCACCACAACGGAAAAAAATACAAAAAACACATACTGTACTTGTTAACATGCTTGGCTAAATAACAAAATGGCAGCAGAAAAGATAAGCACCTAGTAATTAGGATGACGAGTTAAACACGAAGTCATAATGATTTAGATGACTGGTTAAATACATAACATGGTAACGTTTGATACAGATAATAGAAATAATAAAGATAATTTCACACTTACCAGCAAGAAGTTCGTCGGTATCACCAAACCTGCTGGCGTCCGAACTTTTCCGGCTGCTTATGCCACTTTTGCTACTTCCAGAGCCCCGGCGGGATGGACATTCTGATGATAGCAGCGACGTACGTCTGGAACAAATACTGGACGCCGACCCGCGGCGATCCGCGTCCGACGCTAGCGACGTTCGCCTGCTGCTGATGCTACTTCCGGAACCACGTCGATCAGTGTCGACAGACGCTAGAGATGTTCTTCTACTACTTCCGCTTTCTGCAGAGCACCTGCGCACATAGTCTGATGCATAGGAAGTCCTCCTGCTACCGTAGTCGACAAAAATCTGTGGTACCACAAACTTTGTCTGTTCCGACTGTCTCCTCCGAAGTAGGGGCCCCATTACCAGACTTCGGGTATCCTCTGGTTTTTCTCTCTCCCGGTGAAATCGACCTGTAGGTAGACGAATAGTATCAGACATATTCAGCTGGTTGATAAACTTTGTAAAGAGCACCCCCATCCTGGCTGTCGGATCGAGATATTCCGATGCAAATATTGTCATCTCTCAAAAGCGAATCATGTCACTCGAAGAAAAATTTCTAAATTCCAGGTGATATGGTAAATGTTTGCAAAAATAATTCTGCGTAATGTCGCCCCTTCGCCACATTAGGTCTCCACTGTATGACGAGGTGTGCGTTTACGTGTCATCTACCTACGGCACGTTACCATTGTAACACCGCGCGTCTAATTCGCTTAATACTGGGAGGAGAGAGAGGTGTGCGTTGTGGCATACACCGACAGATCGATCTCATCATACGGACATATCACACGCGGAGGGACACACGCCTCACACACGGCCGTGCCCTGGCATCGACAGGTCACATCAAGTCTTGTTATCCCTCATCCTGTAGCCCTCCCCTACCCACGAAAGGTATTAACTCCAAATCACGTAAACTCATTAAACCTTAACCATATACCCTTATCACCCAATTTGATAGATCTCTACGTATTGGCGCCATACCACAGAGGCCTCAGGTGAAACCTAACCAAACAATCACAAAAATGTCGTTGAATTAAATCGACATATTTGTTTATATATATCACAGTATACGGAAAGCCGTCTGAAAATCGAATCATTAACGGCAATAGTTAATGTTACACGGCTACAAGATACCCAGACAACAAATCACCCTATTTTATAACACACACAGCTTATTCTGCTGTAGACAGCGCTTAGTGTTTCTGTCATTCTCAAAAAGCCTTTCACGCAGCAATTTGACATGAAGCAGGCCTGCTAGATAAGTACGGCCTCCTTGTTGCTGTCATGACATGAAAGTGCATCTTTTAAACAATTTGAAACTGACATTAAGATAAAAACAATTGAACAAATCTTTACGTTTTCCTCTCGATTTAAACTGTTTTAAAAGTAGTGCAGGTTTGATGACATTAAACTCGATCGCCCTGACGTGCCTGGAGAAATCAATATATGTATGATATTGTCAAACGAAGCATTGTTCTATGATACCGTCATGTCCTGAGTTGTCTGAATTTCTAGCCCACCTAAGATGGACGTTCATTTAATTCATTAAGATCCCTGTTTAATTCATTAAGATCCCGATCCGTACATTAGATGTCGCCTATACAAGAGCAAGACAACTGCAATCGTATATAAAAAAAAAACACCATTACATAAGTAGCCGGCAATGTATGACAGAAGCAGACAAGATCAACATAATCTAATCCGGTAATGGTAATAACAGGCAAAATCCAGGAAGTCCAGTTGTAAACTTCTGACCACGGAATGGCATCTGTAAACTACTGACCAATGCGTGACCAGCCACAGACATCTGACCAAAGAATAACAGCCACAGACGTCTGACCAATGAATAATAGCCACATACGTCTGACCAATGAATACCAGCCACAGACGTCTGGCCAATGAACACTAGCCACAGACGTCTGACCAATGAATACTGGCCACAGACGTCTGACCAATGAATGGCAGCCACATACGTCTGACCAATGAATACCGGCCACAGACGTCTGACCAATGAATAACAGCCACAGACGTCTGACCAATGAATTCTAGCCACATACGTCTGACCAATGAATACCAGCCACAGACGTCTGGCCAATGAACACTAGCCACAGACGTCTGACCAATGAATAACAGCCACAGACGTCTGACCAATGAATTCTAGCCACATACGTCTGACCAATGAATACCAGCCACATACGTCTGACCAATGAATAACAGCCACAGACGTCTGACCAATGAATTCTAGCCACATACGTCTGACCAATGAATGGCAGCCACATACGTCTGACCGATGAATAACAGCCATAGACGTTTGACCAGTGAATACTAGCCACAGACGTCTGACCAAAGAATAACAGGACTTGTCAGTGATGCAAAGGGATTAAAAATTTGAAGCCTAGGAGGCAACTAAGGTAAATTCAAAGTGATCGGAAGGAAAGTCAAAGTGTAAACGGGGAGGTGGAGCAGTCCCATGATTAAATAAATTTCGTTATTTTCATTTATCAGATAATTTTAGAACAACATCAAGTAGATGTGAATATTCTTAATCGTGCTACTTCTTCAAATGAATTGAAACATGAGGCGCAACTTATTTCAAAGGTAAATTAAAACGTCGCCAGAACACTGACGTTCGTCGGTGAGACGATAGCCGGACGCGTGAGGAGCCACGGAGACGGAAAACATGTCAATCAACCAACAGTCGACAGAACACTGACGTTCGTCGGTGAGACGATAGCCGGACGTGTGAGGAGCCACGGAGACGGAAAACATGTCAATCAACCAACAGTCGACAGAACACTAACGTTCGTCGGGGAGACGATAGCCGGACACGTGAGGAGCCACGGAGACGGAAAACATGTCAATCAACCAACAGTCGACAGAACACTGACGTTCGTCGGTGAGACGATAGCCGGACACGTGAGGAGCCACGGAGACGGAAAACATGTCAATCAACCAACAGTCGACAGAACACTAACGTTCGTCGTTGAGACGATAGCCGGACACGTGAGGAGCCACGGAGACGGAAAACATGTCAATCAACCAACAGTCGACAGAACACTAACGTTCGTCGGTGAGACGATAGCCGGACACGTGAGGAGCCACGGAGACGGAAAACATGTCAATCAACCAACAGTCGACAGAACACTAACGTTCGTCGGTGAGACGATAGCCGGACACGTGAGGAGCCACGGAGACGGAAAACATGTCAATCAACCAACAGTCGACAGAACACTAACGTTCGTCGGTGAGACGATAGCCGGACACGTGAGGAGCCACGGAGACGGAAAACATGTCAATCAACCAACAGTCGACAGAACACTAACGTTCGTCGGTGAGACGATAGCCGGACACGTGAGGAGCCACGGAGACGGAAAACATGTCAATCAATAGGTAAATTGATGTAAAATTTAGGACAAAGACACACATGACAGTAGATTGGTGACATGTGAAACATATTTACAGTGGTTAATCACAATATACACCAAACTATTAGTAAATCTTACTTAAGTGTCAAACTCGACACATCTTGCTACTATGCCTTTACCCCTGTCCCCGGAATATGTGAACTGCTTTCTTCATTTGATTTGCTTACGAAGATCCAACAGTTTTTTTCATAAAGTAAATCAATTGCAAAGTACTTACCAAAGTAGAAAAAATGCAGATTTTTTGCGCGCATAGATATATCACCTATATACTCGAAAAGCATCTGTTTACCTAACATGACAACAGTGTTGCTCTTCTAAAGCAAGGAAATGTGTGTGGTTAGGAAAAGATACCTCCCTATATATTTGTATTTGTTTTTCGCACATGGTACTATACAACCAACTACAGGAGGATAGGAGAAGCAAACTGTTCAAATACACGTCCTTTCCTCTCTCTGAAACCACACCTTAGCAACTACAATGTAATCGCTTTCATTTTCATTCAATTAACACATGTTAGACATTTTTCACCAGCTGTATCATTCCTATAAGTCGGGTACTGATAAACAAAAGCAGAGTTCTCAATAAAGGACAGAAATAAGACAAATACATTTATTACAGCCATTGGAACTCCTCCGTCTTATTTTACTTTTAGTTGTTGTTGTACATATTCAATCATTCAAATTGTTTATTTGCAAATGGCCCCATCAATAAGCTAAGTTATGAATTTAGTGTGATTCGTCCCAAAACCAGTCATATAACATAGACAGAGTCATCAAGATCCCCTGCCCATGTTCATTTGTAAAATGCATACATTTAAAGTGAGCAACATGGAAAACTGGAAAAGACATCAACCAATCAGGTCACAGCAACTTCATTAAATGTGTGAGGAATTGCTATTAATCGAACTTGGCCAAGGCGTTAATCAATCACGGACAAGACATTAAGGTAGCAAGTGCATCAACCAAGTTTAAGAAAAATCCGACCACTCCTTCAAAAGATATAATGAGGGAAACAGTATCCGGACGCACGGGAATCCATTTGAATACCCCTCATCCTCTCCCCCCTCCGCTAACTTTGTTGGTGGGGGATAACAACATTTTAAAATAGTTCCGGAATCGATGTTGTGGTACTATAGGTGTAATTGTCTAGGGAGAAGTCGTTACTTTAGTGCTTTCTAGCCTTACGGAGTAAGTAGTAGATTGTATTAAAATGGTTCTGATTGACTTGGTAAGTTATAGGTAACAGTGCAGTACGGAGATATTGTGTCAACCTGTCAAACCTAAAGGTAATATGTCGCATTTGACTCAGTAAGGCTTGTTCGTGACAGCTGACAAGTAAACTCGAGACACGGGGTTTCGAGATATGCAGGTTGAAGATGATTATGGGCAGTTATTTAGTCGTCATAATTTTCGAATTAAGAAATAGTATACCTACTTGAGTTGGAAACATCAATTACTCATTAGTATGCCTATTGTTTCGTTGTTGTCAATCTTGTTGCAATTTGAGAACGTGACATTACTTAATAATTAATCAGAAGACGTTAACTCTCCCAAAACATCTCGTCTATTTTCTTGTTGCTTTTTCACGTTACATATTTTCCAATGAATCGGTTATTTCAAGAAGCATTTAGGTAATCTTAAAATTACAGAGAATCTATCACCTCCCTGTCGGGTTGTCGTGATGCACTTCAGTAATGGCGATCTGCTACAATCACTTTGCTTGAATTCAGATTGAAGATCATTATACCTCTCACTGAAGTATCAATTACAGACGCTTTAGTCTCAATCTGACACAAATCTTACGTGCTAATATTACCCGCCTTAATACACAGACTATTTTTTAGAATCATTCCTTTTTCGTTGCAGTGTTTCGTAGATAAATTATATATCTTTAATAATGCTTCTGTTTATCACCAATTTTGTGACAACATCAGTGTGAAGGAAATACCTCTGGTGGTTGGATTTTAAACGTATCATATAAATTGTATACATCTCTAAATTCCTGTAGTCGCAAAATCGATGTCTTATTGTATCCCGGTCATGAATTTGTGAGAGAAATTGAATGGTGACCCAGTTTCCTATTTATAGCTTGTCTTTCGGTTATATGGTTGATTAACTAACATGGATTTTTGAATCGTTTACAACAACTACCAACATGTCTCTTTTTTAATCGCTTTTCGATAAGTGTGTTAAATTTGTTGTGGTTGTAGCGGTCACAAATTAACAAATACTGTTGTAATTTGTAATATGTATATGTTAAACTACCTATACCGCCACGATTGGACGTAAAATCCCCTTTCACGCGTGGTCGGGTGGCGCAATGGTCACACACTCGTCTTCCATCTCGGAGCCCTGGTTTTCTCCCCGAAAAGGACGTGAAAAGGTATTGGGGTCACCTGTCCGACCACGTAGGTTTTCCCTGGGTATGTCGATTTCCTTTTGGAGAAAAGACCCCTCGCTCGCGCACGTTCATTCGAGCCAACAAGAGTAATTAATATGAGTTTAAAGCTTGTTTCACAATTGTTGTAAAATAGATAAAGTTTATTTCTACCATAATCTGTGTATGTTATCTCACGCCCAGACTATTCATTAAACACCATATCCATTGTTTATTCATACGTATAATACACACGTGTATTATTGGTGACAGCCAAATCTATTGGACGAGGCATGGACGTTTGACCCAACCATGATCTGTGACCCCGAACTACTTTCGCCACGTGCGATTGTTTTCATCGTCTGCTGTCCATCATCAACATGGCTGACAGTGATGATCTGTCACTCTTGCCGGCGTCAAGATCGGTGATGCGGTAAAACTGTGTTGAGGGGGATAGGGGATAATAATTGGTAAATGCAGCAATTTTGGTTGCCCAACCTTTGATATTAGGTTAGAGACGAGTAAGGACGTTTCGGAATCAAGATATAGGTTTGTCTGCATTCACATTTTCCCCTCGAAGAAGCACTACTCTTGTCCGCAATAAAATCTAGTTCCAATTTTTTTTTTTAAAAAGATTAACAATTTGTTTAATTTTGTAACGTGTTTCAAAGAACTAATGTAACGGGATATTTCCAAACAAGATTACTGAATAAATAAGTATTTTGCTTCAAAAGTAGCGATTTTGTCTCGTTTTGTATATCAATGAGCCAATTAGACAACCTACGATGTATTCTTACGCGAAAGTGTCAATTGGGGCGAAACAATGTTGTACACAAAAGATATATTTTTAAGTTAAAAGGTTATGGTAGAAAGAAGTTCTACAACTCATGGCAGTTGATTATCGTCGTTATCAAATTCTCGTTAATTCATTTTCAAATTGAGAAGACACTCGGCAAAGCCTGTGTCTTTTCTAAATTTGAAAATTAACTAACGATGATAATCAGCTGCCACTCGTTGTAGAACCTCTATGTATAACCCTTTCACTTCCACTAAGCATTTAACCTGGCAACAGAAGTAAAGAGTTTAACAAACAGTAATTAAAATCAAAGAGGATAATTTCAATAAGACACTTACTGTATAATTTTCTGACGATCTTCTTTGCATGTTTGTCCCAAAATGTCCTGGAGCGACAGAAAGGGTACTTCCAACACACAAATAGTCCGACAAACAGTACGAGGGCTGTGCTCACTAGAGCTGTGATGATGGCGGCAACCTCATACGTCGGTACTGGGAATAAAGAAAAGTCCTGTTTAGTAAGCAACAATCTAATCCTACCTTACTTACAATAAAACAATATATTACACATATCAATGGGTGTAATTCTCAGCCTTTTTCAATTTAATATATCCAAGTTTTCACATACAGGACTTTAACTTGCACTTAATTGCCGGTTCCTCTCTCATTTAACAATGTCAGCAAGCCAGCTGACTGGTAAAACTGTCTATAAAAACAACAAGTCATTTATGAGTTCATTTTCTTTTTAATGTTCTTTGGTTGCTTTACTTGGATAAACATTTTCCCTTATACCTGACCTTTTCTTCTGTCGTGATTTTTTTTATCTGAATAAATACGAATGTTATCTTAAGTAGAATTTCTCCAATCCATGACAAACTGTTCTCAAACCCGCAACATTTAGCCCGGCCGTAATATGTCTGTTTACAGCTCACATCACCGTTGGTCTACACATTTAGCTTGGAGATCTCGTTTCTCACACCATCACCGTGGAGATGTATTTGTCTGTTGTAAACTGTCTGTGCAATCCGTCCAAGTTTCAAAATAAGAACCGACAAAAATATCACTGTAACGACTCCTCGGGGATATGGAATCAGAGCATCATAATTGCATGTTTCACGCCGTCATTTCATATTCTAGGAACTATGTTGCTATTTTCTTAATAACACATAATTATTCTTGTTGGATGTACAGTTTTATACTTGATATCCAGCATAAGACCATATATAGCAACAAGCACACAAACAATACAATTTGTATTTACACATCTTGACCCAACACCATGTTCGTAACTACCGTGATTGTGACAAGACTGTGTGTGTGACGATGTCGTGTGTGTGACTGCCCTGTTCCGCAACTACAGTGTCTGTGACTACACCGTGTCTGTGACTACACCATGTCTGTGACTACACAGTTTCTGTGACTACACCGTGTCTGTGACTACATACTGTCTGTGACTACACTGTGTCTGTGACTACACCGTGTCTGTGACTACACAGTGTCTGTGACTACACCGTGTCTGTGACTACACAGTGTCTGTGACTACACCATGTCTGTGACTACACGTTGTCTATGACTACACCATGTTTATAATTACACACTGTATCTGACTACACCATGTCTGTGACTACACAGTGTCTGTGACTACACACTGTATGTGACTACACCATGTCTATGACTACACACTGTCTGTGACTACACAGTGTCTGTGACTACACACTGTATGTGACTACACCATGTCTATGACTACACACTGTCTGTGACTACACAGTGTCTGTGACTACACACTGTATGTGACTACACCATGTCTATGACTACACACTGTCTGTGACTACACACTGTATGTGACTACACCATGTCTATGACTACACACTGTCTGTGACTACTCTTTGTCTGTGACTACACACTGTCTGTGACTACACCATGTCTGTGACTACACGTTGTCTATGACTACACCATGTTTATAATTACACACTGTATGTGACTACACCATGTCTATGACTACACACTGTCTGTGACTACACAGTGTCTGTGACTACACACTGTATGTGACTACACCATGTCTATGACTACACACTGTCTGTGACTACTCTGTGTCTGTGACTACACACTGTCTGTGACTACACAGTGTCTATGACTACACGGTGTCTATGACTACACTATCTATGACTACACACTGTCTGTGACTACACACTGTCTGAGACTACAGTGTCTGTGACTACACTGTGTCTATGACTACAAAATGTCTGTGACTACACATTGTCTACAACTACACACTGTCTGTGACTACACTGTGTCTGTGACTACACACTGTATGTGACTACACCATGTCTATGACTACACACTGTCTGTGACTACACACTGTCTGTGACTACACAGTGTCTATGACTACACTATCTATGACTACACAGTGTCTATGACTACACGGTGTCTATGACTACACTATCTATGACTACACACTGTCTGTGACTACACACTGTGTCTGTGTGACTACACACTGTATGTGACTACACCATGTCTATGACTACACACTGTCTGTGACTACACACTGTCTGTGACTACACAGTGTCTATGACTACACGGTGTCTATGACTACACTATCTATGACTACACACTGTCTGTGACTACACACTGTCTGAGACTACAGTGTCTGTGACTACACTGTGTCTATGACTACACACTGTCTATGACTACACACTGTCTGTGACTACACTGTTGACGACATCTGAACAGTTATCAGTTTAACCAGCCACTTGACAGACAAGGAAGCAATCGAAGATGAGCGATGTTTTGTGGGAGTAATGTCCCCTCCGTCAGCCACCACTATCTACCAGCACGACGTTGTGCGTTTAGTGTATCTGTATCACATGATGTTCGCATGAACTCTTTGTAGGGATAAATGCTAAAAACATTTTATGAATCGGAGATTTTTTTTATTAACATTACAAAGATGCTCTGTCTTGTAAGAGATTGAATAACCTTGGAACATGTTATACTTAGCAGATACACTGTGTCAGACTTTGTTTGACCTTCAAAATTGTTCTGTAGGACGTTTAATAGCCTTGACCGTAAGATACTTTACACAGATACTCTGTCGGACCTTTAATAGCCTTGACCGTAAGATACTTTACATAGATACTCTGTCGGACCTTGAACAGCCTTGACCGTAAGATACTTTACATAGATACTCTGTCGGACCTTGAACAGCCTTGACCGTAAGATACTTTACAAAGATACTCTGTCGGAGCTTGAATAGACTTGACCGTAAGATACTTTACATGGATACTCTGTCGGACCTTGAACAGCCTTGACCGTAAGATACTTTACATAGATACTCTGTCGGACCTTGAACAGCCTTGACCGTAAGATACTTTACATAGATACTCTGTCGGAGCTTCAACAGCCTTGACCGTAAGATACTTTACATAGATACTCTGTCGGACCTTGAACAGCCTTGACCGTAAGATACTTTACATAGATACTTTACATAAGATACTCTGTCGGAGCTTCAACAGCCTTGACCGTAAGATACTTTACATAGATACTCTGTCGGACCTTGAACAGCCTTGACCGTAAGATACTTTACATAGATACTCTGTCGGAGCTTCAACAGCCTTGACCGTAAGATACTTTACATAGATACTCTGTCGGACCTTGAACAGCCTTGACCGTAAGATACTTTACATAGATACTCTGTCGGACCTTGAACAGCCTTGACCGTAAGATACTTTACATAGATACTCTGTCGGACCTTTAATAGCCTTGACCGTAAGATACTTTACATAGATACTCTGTCGGACCTTGAACAGCCTTGACCGTAAGATACTTTACATAGATACTCTGTCGGACCTTGAACAGCCTTGACCGTAAGATACTTTACATAGATACTCTGTCGGACCTTGAACAGCCTTGACCGTAAGATACTTTACATAGATACTCTGTCGGACCTTGAACAGCCTTGACCGTAAGATACTTTACATAGATACTCTGTCGGACCTTGAATAGTTGGTGGATTGTGAATTTACCATTTGCACCAATGGTCACGGGGACTGTCAGTCAAGCAGTTACCAGACCTCTGTCATTCACGGATAAGAACAATCTATCAGTAAAGTCGACCAGCATGTTATGTCATAACACAATAAGATAGTAATCAAATGATAAATTCTATTTTTTTAAAGTGTTCCAATATTAACAACCCATGAGATGTGCCTCTCGAAATCCTGTAAAGCGTGAGTCTTCTACCCTTAACTAGTGTTTTATGTATCATTTGCTGATATAGACTTTATCTTGAAGTCTAAGGTCGACCTCCGAGACTAATAGAAAATAATGAAGTCGACGATTTAAGGTACTTGATATAGACAATGATAGAGCAAGTTGGAAGTTTAAACTATTAGAAAGTCGACGCCGATATCGTTAAGATTAACCACATAACAAGCCAGCTAGTCGCAGCCAAGTTGGTAATGAAGACGATAACCTTACACTGCTGACACACACAAGTAGTGACTTGCTCTCTATTACACATTTACCAAAATGTCTCAGTGAAATGTTCAATCAATCAGATTTCATTATCATATGCTTTTGTTTGTGATATATTTCTATATACACTTTCAAAAATCCGTGTCATTCACTAGGATACTAAATTTATAACATTAGATGCCATACGTGTGAGATAACCTATCTTTAGAACTTAAATGGCACGTGAGTGTATGAATCAATACCATCCCTTTTCTGTCTACAAGATGTTGATTTAACTTGTCTAATGTAATCAGACAATGTTAAATTCTTCACTTGGTGAACGTGTTCTTAATAACACATATGTACCAAAGGCTTTAGTTGAATCTCAAAATACAAACAGCTTGTCATCGATCGTTAGTATTGCCTTTTCAATGAATCAACCGTAATAGCTGTACATGGAGGGCGATTATGAAAATTCAATTCACCCAGTTGCGTTGTGGACCAAGATAGACAGATGAAATATTAAATGATGATATAAATCTTTGAACAGAAGCAAAAAATATAGACCGACTAAAAGAAATTGTTCCCTTGTTTGCATATGAAGATCCATAAATATATGGTTAAATTTAATTAAGATTTCTTCAAAGCTTTCTTACTTGTTACATGCTATAATCCCATACATTCAATTATTTGATAAATGGTAAGTATTTTCAACAAGTGTAAATTATTGGTAACATAATTAGGAGCTGCCATAGTATGTAATTCAAGATAGGAAAACATCCTAGAGACAGGAGAACACAACTCTAACGAAGTATTTTTCAGGGTATAGATATATATTGTTGAACTAATCATGTTGGTGATGTTTAAGTAATCCTATCCTGATTAGTTGTTCAATGTATTCAAAGCAAAAATAAAAATGCCGAGAATAGAATAAATTCATTATGTTCCCATAGGTATTGCTCTTGTCTGGAGGTCATTCCAATGACCTCCAATGAGAATTCAATCCTTCTTAAGGATTCGTTCTCGGTACAATACAACTT